TGATAAGAGTTCAAACAAAATTTTATTATTGTTAATATATAACTTTTTTCTAAATTTTATAATCGAGAGCATCGTTTGTATACTCATAGTTTGCAAATTTTATATATTATTAATTGTTTACATGGGTAAAAAACAAAAGGGTTAATTTGGTAATTTGGGTTGGAGTACGATTTGTTGTTGTCGCACACGTAGGGTCGTTGGATTTGATTTGGTAATTGATACGTCGCATCACGTGGCCATGCCCCACCTTACAGATCAAAGTCAACAAACCTCACGTGACTTCATCTTGGAAAATCAACTCCTTTGATTCATCTGCACCCAGATCTGTATGTGAACAAACGCATAATTTTTTCTTAATCAGAATTACATATTCGTAATTTAGATTATGGGTAGAATTTTTTTCTTTTTGTCTTTTCTTTTCTTTTTAAAGACAAATTATTAATTATTTTCTAAACTTCCATAATTATTTTAATTCAATTTATAATTAATATTTTTATTACTATTAATTTATTATTTTAATTAATTAATTAAAATTATTTTTTGAATTGTTTTTTAAATGTCTAAATATAAACTAATCATTTTATTTTTTTTAATAAATTAAAAAAAATGTCCATTTAAAATAAATAAAAAAGGTCAAAAATTGAATTATAATAAAAACTGATTATATGTTAGTCCGCATAGTTTGGAACTGATTAGTCTCTGTACTTAAACTCATATAAATATGTATATATTTGTTACTTTGTAGTTACATATATAACATTACAATAAATTAGTACTAGTTATTATCCAAATTATCCTTGTGTGATCCAACTAAAACCCCGCTCAAATTAAACATATTTCATACTGGGAAGGATAAATTAGTAATCTAAATATATAGATATACATGTACAACTTAACACAAAGTATCTCCTCAAACAGACTCACCAAAACTCCATTAATGCCTATAAATTAATGACTTACCCACCCACTAGAAAACCTGATAATCACAAACACAGGATTCCAACAAAATGGGCTTTCATTTCTTTGTTGCAGTACTAATGTTGTGGTCAGTTCCAGTTTCAGATTCTCAACCAAGCGCAGCAATGGAATTCCTGGAGGCACACAACGAAGCAAGATCCTTAGTGGGTGTTGCACCTCTCAAGTGGAGCGAGAAGGTAGCCAAGGCCAGCAGTCTTCTGGTGAGATTCCAGAGGAGCCACATGGGTTGCCAGTTCGCCAACCTGAGCGGCGGCAAGTACGAGTATGGTGCGAACCAGTTGTGGGGAAGTGGAGTGGCGGTGACTCCAAGAATGGCGGTGGAGACTTGGGTAAAGGAGAAGATGTATTATAACTACAGTAACAATTCTTGTGCGCCGAATCACAGGTGCGGCGTCTACACGCAGGTGGTTTGGAGGAATTCGACTGAGTTAGGGTGCGCACAAGCTACGTGTCTTCAACAAAAAGCTACTTTAACTATCTGTTTCTATAATCCTCCTGGTAATTATGTAGGGGAGAAACCTTACTAGACAAATCTTTTTTGTTCGATCTAGATGAAGTCGATGCAATGCCTGGTCAGATCTGAGATATATCACACTCTCTTTCTCTCTCTCTCTCTCTCTCTCTATATATATATATATATTTATTTGGTCTAATATGTTTTGTGTATGAGTCAATAATTAACACTTTATGTATTATTTATATTTTTTATGGGAAATAAAGTATCTTGTGAAGATTAATTGCAAATCAAGCTCAATACAAGAACGCAGTCGATCTAGCATATGAACAAAGCAAACAATTAATTATGCGATCGTTGCATATATTATATATTCTCATCGGATATAGCTGACTAAAAAATAACAGTTACTAAGTTGAACTATATTATAGTATTTGCAGTATATTACAGTTCCTGTTGCACATAGTTCATTTATCCCCATTGAATATAGCTGAGGAATAGGTCAAGTATCTTCTTGTAATTACAACCTTTAGTAGAAGGTGTTGTTTGAAAAACATGAATGTTTTTCTAAACACATTACAACAAATGTGATTCGAAATGAAGACCAGTTTCAACAATAGACAATGTTATGTTGCTAAGTTAAATCTATACAAATGGATTCCTTTTGGTATATGTCAATGCCTAGAGTACTTTTGTTACCTATTTTCACCTACCAATGAAATTTATTAGTATAGTTTGTCCTCTATAAATGAAATCATTTGTATAGATATCATTTCTATCAAGAGATATATTTTCTATAGTAAATGTTGGTCCATGCAAGCAGTTTTTATTTCTATAAGTCATGGTCCAAACTCGAATACCATTTACCCATTGGTATCGATATGTTGCTCTCTTAGCTTTTTTATTTTACTCTAGCAAAGTCCATTAGGCCTTTAAATTACAAACTTATTGAGCCAAAACCCTTTAAATTAAAAAGTTAATAAAACAAATAACATTGAAAATATAACAAAAATTTCCTTTATTTCTTTCACTGAAAATCAAACACAATATCTAAGGTTCTCTTTGTTTCTCCAATTGAAATTCAAATGATTACTTTCAATGTTTCTTTAGGCTTTAACTCGACCAGAATTATCTAATGTTTTTTTTTTTCTCATCTTAATCAAAGATTGATGATTCAATTTTCACCATGAGCAACTTTATGTATAAGGAAAAGAAAATAAAATTTGAGGTTGCATATGGAGTAGAGTTGAAATGCCCATACGTCAATTGAGATGATGAAGAGATCAGGTAGACCTAGTGAAATAGTATGGTCTAGGAATTTGTTTCTCTTTTAATTTGATAGTGAGAAGAACTTCATCATATAAAAAGGGGAACACCATGACTTTTTGAGAAATTTTTGTTTTGCTTAACTACATTAAAAGGGGATGAATACCCACATCAAGTCCAGTGTTTATTCTTCACAGAGATTTGGGGCAAGATGTATGATCTATGCTCCATGCTTATAAAAATAAAGGTTTATAGTAGATTTGAAAATTAGATAAGTGATATAGTCAGTGTGGATAGTTTACCCATATTAGTGGAAAGTTGGCGCTTCTTCGAATATATATAATGTTGATGTGCATAAACCTATTTTAAGAGGCACATTGTTGAACATGGTCAAGCTGATTTGCTTAATAATGTTTTGCTATCAACTTCTGCTATCTTTTTGTTACATATGTGGGTGTTTAAGGCATATAATGAGGTATGTATCCTATTATGATATTTACATGGACTAGTATCTAATAAAATTTGAGAAAAGAGTATATTGAAGTTTACTAGGGGTTTAGGATTGGTGAATCTTGGAGAGTCACCAAAAAAGATGAAGAAGACTGGTATTAAGGAAATCCCGTACATCATTAGCCATTATAAAAAGTTATGATAAATTTTTTTAGGACTATCTCAACAAACTCTATAGATACATTAAAGAAATCTAATTTAAAACTCTGTGGGTCTAGACAAGGGGAAACTAATGGGAGTTAACAAGCCAGTTAATCCATAAACTATTAAATATAATGCAAAAATTAATAAATCACATGTTTTTCTTAATTAATCAAATGCTTTCCTATTTCCAATTATTGGAATAAGTCAATTTAATTTTATTAGTCTGGTGGTTAGTTAGTAAGTAATTAGTTATTCTAAGGGATTTATTTATCATAGTTATATAGTTGCTAAACTTGGGGGATTGTAGTTACAACTCATTGTGTATAAATTTATTGGCTAGGAATAATAAAATTGATCAGTTCTTTATCATTTTGTTCCTACTCATAACCTATTTGATAAAGATCCTAAGTGAATATTTCCAAATTGTTGCTTTGCCTTTCTTGATTTTGCAATCACAAAGGAAGTTTCTTATTTATTCATAACCAAAATTTGATGTTATCATCGAGTATCAGAGCAATGTTACATAAGAGATGACAAACAACTCCACGGGTGTGAGTTCAACTCTTCCCTCACCACCATTATTCAAAGGAAGTGACTATGAAGTATGAAGCATAAAAATGAACACTCTCTTCATTTCTCAAGACTTGTAGGAGCTGGTTTAGAATGACTATAATAAAACATGTGTTTTAGTTGAAGTTCTTAAAGAATCCAAGAAGAAAGATGTTAAAGCTCTCTTTTATATTTAACAAGTCATTGATGACAACATCTTTTCACAAATTATAATTGAAATAAAGTCATGAGAGGCATGGAATGCATTAGAAATGGCCTATAGGAGGACTGCCAAAGTTCAATCTATCAATTTGTAAACACTTAGAAAATAATTTAAAGAATTTTTCATAAAGAATGGTGATACTATGAAGCTCTATTTTTGGAAAATAATAGAGGTTGTTAACCATTACCCATATACAAAAAAATGGTGATCAATTGTCTGAGCAAAAGGTTGTCAAGAAAATATTAGAAACTCTTCCAAAAAATGTGATCATAGAGTGGCTACCATAGAAGAATCCAAAGACTTGAGTTAGTTAATAACTCATGAATTACTTGGCTCATTGCAATCTCATGGAGACATACTGAACAAGTGTAAAGAGCATAGTGATGAAAATGCATTTCATATGAAGATTCATTTTCTAAAACAAATCTTAATGATTCAAGTAACAAGTAAGGACATAGAGATTATGTTGGCCATGGACAAAAAAGAGGTAGAGGCAGATGAGGTGGTGGACATGGAAGCCATAATCACAACAAAGATATTGGGAATAAAGGTGATGTGATCCTAGATAGCCTAAATTTAGTTCTAAAGATACAATCCCACATCAAGAAAAAATCTTATGGTAATTAGGATTCCCGCAGGACAATTGCTTGTGAGTCTACAACTGCAGGGGAGGAAAGACATACAACATGCACAACATGCACCCACAAGCACAAAGATGTCGCACATGCACGTTACACAACACGCAGGTGCAAACATCTTTTTATTTCTTGAATTGGGACTCCTTCAAGTCTCCCAAGGACTCTCACATGTCACATCCCAAATAGGTAAGTAGTTCTAGATCTTTCTGTTTCCTAAATTAGGTCATCCCAAACAGGAAAGTATTTATTTCCCTAACCACTTTCTTAAATGGGATTATTATGAATGTGTCAAGTTTGTTTAAAGAAAGCTTAAGTTCTAAATGGCGTTTCGTGGGCTTGGAGAATCAGAGGTCAAGAAGCAAGGCCAACTTTTCGCCTAACCAGAGAGAGGAACAAGGCCTTTCAACCTAGGAAGGTCGCAGCCAAGGAAGGTGTCGCGATATTGGGCATGTTGCCCACGTGTGCGATGAGTCGCATATGTGGGAAAGAGTATTCACACGCAAGTGGTCCTTTCCTGCGTAAGAAGACAAGTTGAGCGTGTGGGAGAGCCGTAGTTGCACACGTGAAGATTTGCTAGTGGGGGTTGTCCATGTCGCGCACATACATAAGTCGTGCGCATGCAGGTGACCTTGCCCGCGTAGGTGAGACATGCATATTAGAATTTGATGTCGAGAAGGACTTTCCTTCTTCATATTTTCACATGTGAAAATTATGGTTGATTTTTTAAAAAGAATTTTGCATCAACTTGAAGTCTAAAAGGAGATTAAAGCACACGAGAAATATGGTAAAAATAAGGAATCTTGTCTAGATTATGAATTTTTAACTAATATTTTATTGCTTAATTTTATCCTTAGAAATATGTAATTATTATCTAAGGATTAAGATTAAGTTGTGTCTAGATTTTAGGAAGACTTTTAATTAAATTTAAGTGTTTGTAATTATTTAGAATTATCTTAGTGAAAGCTTATATAAAAGCCTCCTCTTAGGCTATAAAGAACAATTCACTTTATCAATAAACTTATTTAGTTTTGTTTTTAAATTAGTTTTACCAATTTTAAGAGTGAATGTTCTTCAAGAGAGGTTTTTTCAAACATCTTATTGAGCCGAAAAATCTGAATCAACTTATCGGGTAAGTCGTGACGTCTTTTCAATTCATATTTTTATTTTTTAGTTATCTTGAGTTGCCTTCGAATTGTTGATTGTGATTCAAGTAGGTGCGAGTTTAATTTATAGAATTAAGTTTCTACATGCTAAATGGAGTGGGTTCTTGATCAAGGTGTTTTTAATCCTAGAGCTCCTCGCATCAAATGGTGAAGCTCAAAATGTAACACCCTGTAAACCTTCGTGCTTAAATTGTAATTGAAAAATTCCTATTTATTTGGGCCCTAAGGCCACATGAACCCTTTAAATTATTTCATAATTTTTAATATTCGCATTTCGTAAAATTAATTTTTATTTTTAATTTTATTCTGAAAATTATATTATTATTTTTTTTATTTTTGTCAATATTATTTTATGATTTTATTTTATTGTTATATTTTTTAAAAATAAATTTACAGGAGAAAAGACAGAAAAAGGGGATAAATCTCACAGGAAAATGCTCGTGGGAAAGGACCCGTCTGCGCGGGTATCACACACCGTGTACGCGCAGCTAGCACAAGATGTGCGCTCTGTTCGCACGTCCCATCCGCGCGGGGTACGAGGCCGGTCCGTGTGCGCGTCCCATTGCGCG